ATATATTTATTTATTATCTGTATTTTGTCATGTCTTTGTAATTCTGTTGCACTGTAGAAGCTCTGTCACGAGAACAAATTCCTCATATGTGCGAACATAACTGGCAATAAAGTTCTTTCTGATTCTGATAAATGGGCAATATGGGGGATATGTTGGTGGTATGTTGGCTATAGGTGGGTAATATAGATGACGATGGCAATATATAGAGTCCTAGGGGCAATATGGGATTGATATGTTTGCGATATGGGAAATAAGAATGATATGAGGACAGTATGTGGGTGATATGTCAGTGGTATGTGGGCTAAAGGTGGGTGATATTGGGGAATATGTAGGTAATATAGATGACGTGGGCAACATATGAAATCTGGGGGGCAATATGGGATTGATACGTTTGCGATATGGGAAATAAGAATGATATGAGGACAGTATGTGGGTGATATGTCAGTGGTATGTGGGCTAAAGGTGGGTGATATTGGGGAATATGTAGGTAATATAGATGACGTGGGCAACATATGAAATCTGGGGGGCAATATGGGATTGATACGTTTGCGATATGGGAAATAAGAATGATATGAGGACAGTATGTGGGTGATATGTCAGTGGTATGTGGGCTAAAGGTGGGTGATATTGGGGAATATGTAGGTAATATAGATGACGTGGGCAACATATGAAGTCTGGGGGGCAATATGGGATTGATACGTTTGCGATATGGGAAATAAGAATGATATGAGGACAGTATGTGGGTGATATGTCAGTGGTATGTGGGCTAAAGGTGGGTGATATTGGGGAATATGTAGGTAATATAGATGACGTGGGCAACATATGAAGTCTGGGGGGCAATATGGGATTGATACGTTTGCGATATGGGAAATAAGAATGATATGGGGACAGTATGTGGGTGATATGTCAGTGGTATGTGGGCTAAAGGTGGGTGATATTGGGGAATATGTGGGTAATATAGATGACGTGGGCAATATGTGGGCAACATATGAAGTCCGGGGGGCAATATGGGATTGATATGTTTGCAAAATGGGAAATAGGAATGATATGTGGACAGTATGTGGGGAATAGGTGGGTGATATTGGAAAATATGTAGGTAATAGAGATAACGTGAGTAATATGTGGACAATATATGGAGTCCTGGGGCAATATGGGAGTGATTTGTTTGGGATATGGGAAAAAAGAATGATATGTGGACAGTATGTGGGGAATAGGTGGGTGATATTGGGAAATATGTGGGTAATCTGTGAGCAATATATGGAGTCCCGGGGGCAATATGGGGGTGATATGTTGGCGATATTGTAAACAAGAATGATATGTGGGTGATATGTTGGCAATAGGGCTGATATATGTGGCAATATGGTTTATATGTGAGTTATATGTGAGGTGAAATGTGGGAAAAATGCATTATATATGGGTGATATGTTGGCAATATGGCCGATTTATGGATGAAAGATATAGCAATAGCAATATAGCAATATTTGGGTACTGTGATATAGATGATTAAAAAAAACATCCTTGGAAAAGATTTCTAGAACAGGTTTGGATGCCCCTACTTTACAAAAAGGGCTGTGTTAGCATGTTTGTTTGTTTTTTGGTGTAGAAACATGTGAAGGTTGAGTTAATGTTAACAGAATTTTCATGTTTGGGGGAACTATCATTTTGGTTTGAAGGGATGTGAGTGAATAAAAGACAATATATACTGTATTTAGTATACACACACACACACACACACACACACACACACACACACACACACATATATGTATAGTGAATAAACATTAAAACTTCTCTTCTGATCTTCTCAGATACGGACTATGATGATCAACAATTCAAGCGGTGAGAAAACAATAGAAACACTTGTCAAATCTCAAGATGAGGTGAGCAAATTTTGCTAGAACTCTTCAATTATTACATTTATGTTTCTGCTGATTTGATTGATATATACCTTTCTCTTAACTATTTCAGAGATACATTGATCGTGGAATCAGGAAGTACACATGGGCACCAGTTAATGGGACAGACTACAGGTTTGAGCGCTATACCTACAACATGCGAAGTGTTTGATAACTCCCAGAAGTCATCGTAATTATATATATATATATATAAAACACATTGTCCTTTCCTCTGTGCTTGTGGGTGTTCTGCAGCCTGGCCTTGGTCTTGCCTGAATACAGTCTGCATTACATCGAAGCAAACCTGGGGGACACTATAAAACAAGTCATGTGTGAGTACCGTTCGTTCACCCCCAGAACACACACACCAGCTCCCCATGTCGAGCAAACACACTATCATTTACTTAAAAGATCAGATAAAGACATCGGTATGCAATGCTATTGTTTTATGAAATAGTTAAGACCGAATATTTTTCATCAGCTTGCAAGAGAGGTCTGCCTATTTGTGTGTGTGTGTGTGTGACCTCGATTGTCAGCGCCGGTCTCTGTATTAAACTGAGGTCCAGCTGGTCTCCACCCATCCTGAGCAGTGTAGCCAGGCGTTTGATCTGACTCTCCCCAGCACACAGGGGCCCCGGCTGGGAAGAGAGACTGCAAACGCTCCCTCCCCTCTGGACATGTTCTGCTTTGCTCCAGAGCTACACACACACAAACACAGACGCACAGCTCATTTGGAGGAATGCTGCCGGTTAAACTCTATCGATAGCATGTGGCATTCTGTCAATTTAGCACAGAAAATGATTTAGCAATAGTGAAGTATATTGGGCGACCTTGTTTTTGGGGGGCTTTGCTTTTAGAAACTGAGGTATACGTCAAACTTATTTTCCATGGTAAGTGACAGATGCTGTCGATAAAGCTTAACTTGTGCTTAAGCCAGAGCATTCGGTTGACTCTGAAATGAAAATTGCCATTATTTACTGACTTTTGTGCGAGTCTAAAACTTCTATCAAAGATAAAAGGAGAACTTTTAGGTTGCTCTGAAAGTTCATCCATAAAATCACTGTATCATTATATGTAGTCTTTCTGACTCTTGAGATATGTACATGCCTTTTGAAGCTTGATGAACAGGCTAATACAGTTATGTGATTCAGTTATGTTGATTCGAAAACATCGTTTAGGAACAGAACAATATAGTGATGGGTGTTTCCCAAAACCGTAGCTGCTTTGTCGCAGATCCATCGTTTGAACCACGCAAATGACACTCTAAATGGGGTGGAGCAACAACTTCTTTAGAGTAAAACTTCATAATTTTTTGTGCAAATTGTATTGTTTTACTTGCATACATGCTTAAAAAAATCCAATATTAGTTTTAGTAAATCATGCATTTGTTTTCATATTACCTAAATTATATATGTAAATGGCACATATTTATAATTTGAGAGCAAATTACACCTTAGAGAGATGACCTTAATGTTTTTTTTTTTAATCATACCAAGTTTAAATGTTGGAACGTTCTAAATGAATAGGGCATAGGGGCAATAGAGCACAGCCAGGAACTATTCTTCTAAATACAGCTCTAGGGGTGTAGTTGCAAGTGACACGATTGAGGCGCAGTTTATAAATGTTTGTTGGAACGATGGATTTGGGAAACACCAAATCAACAAACTATGTTTGTTACGACAGAACTTGCGAACTTAGTTGGCTAATGATGGTTTTCGAACACGCACCTCTGACCAGTCTGGTTTTGGAAAACAAAGATGTTGATCAACACTGTGCTGAGTGAGAAAACGTCAGTAAATAATGACTACAATTTTCATTGTTTTGCAACTATTCTAAAATAATTAGTACTATAATCTATTATAGTATGTAAATCCATGTGTGGTGGCACAGTCACCTCACAGCAAGAAGGTTGCTGGTTCAAGAGCTAGTGTGTCACGATACTGGAATTCGATACCAATCGGTGCTGAAATTTTTAACATGTCAATTTCACGCTAACATTTTAACAGAAATGACTGTGATTAGCTGTGAGGATCATCAGATCATCAAACTCACCGCTGTTGATTGAGTGTAAAAACAGATATAAGGACACCAAAGATCAGTTGATTCATCAGCGGATCGCTCTTATGTCAGCTTATAAACAGATAAGCTGATCTTTAAACACTTCAGCGTCCATGTAACTGTGTTTACACCATAGACTGTAAAAGATATGGACGTGGTATCTGTGACATCATGTAACATAGATTTCTGAAGAACACTAATAAAGCTACAAGTAGGCTTGGCAAACCGTCGCCATTTTGTTTGCGCGTCATTGTGCCAACCGGAGGTTTCCAAAAAAGGCAGAGAGGCAAAGCCTGAACGGAGCTAGCATTTTGTTTAGACAGACTTTTCTTTGGGAGAAACTCTTAATACTTCATTACCTGCTACTCGTTTGTTGTACATTGAGCCCATAAGCATTGTTCTTATGACGTTTTTTTACAGGAAGAAAACCTGATATTTTTACATATTGCGAATTACTTCTAAATACTTCAAATATAGTCTGTGTTAGTAAATGCAAGGCTATTTATGAAATCTAGGCATAAAACTGTATGACAATATTTCAGATGACTGTTTTATAGCCTACAGCTAATCAATCTGTCAGATTCTGGAGTGCATTACATTACTTAACAAAATTAAAAATTATTAATTATCTTAAATTAAATTAATTTATAGCTATGGTATATAAAATTTCACTCACCTGGGAAAGGGAGGCCACTTAAATGGTTTGTGCACAATTAGGTGCGCAGTATGTCCTAGTATCTGATAATTGTAGGAAATAAATCCAAAAGGCAGTTGACTGTGTAAAGCCACATAAAACAAAACAAAATTACGATGTATATGCCGAGCTCAGTGAATAATCAGCTAGAATCAGCTGAGGTAATGTGACATTGACCAGCGAGACCTAGATCTCACTCAAGTGGCCACGCCCTTAATTATGCAGACTTAATAAAACTTAATATAAACAAAACGGATGAGTTATGAAAAAAATTCACCCCCTCACAGTTGTGATGAAGTGTAACATTAAGTATATACACCAAAATGATTTATTGTATCAGGCAGTAAACACCTTTTTTTTCTGCTGTAAAATTGGCCATTTTAACAACAGGGTCAGTAGAAGTGTGCTGTATAATGGAGCCAGGCCTAGTGGAATTTCGATGAATTGCAATTTCAGTCACTTTAGTTTTAGCTTCACGAGGGAGAGCGGTATGTTGCCGCTTGGTTTACACTCAATCAACAGCGGTGAGTTCGGTGAACTGATGACCTTCACGGCCAATCACAGTCATTTCTGTTTAGCAAATGAAGACAATGGCAAATGGCGTTTAAGAACGTGCTCAACAGTGCTCAAATGTTAAAGGGAAATGAACATTTAATAATGTTAAAATAACTAAATTTCAATATCATAACAACTCAAGTCCCAGCTGAGTCAGTTGGCATTTTGTGTGGAGTTTGCATGTTCTCTCTGTGTTCACGTTGGTTTCCTTAGGTTGCTCCAGTTTGCCCCACAGTCTAAAGACATATTCTATAAGTGCATTTGATGAACTAAATTGGCTTTAGTTCTGGGTTGCAGCTGGAAAGCAAATGCCAGAATAGTTGGTGGTTCATTCCACTGTGGCGATCCCTGATAAATTGGAGACTGAGCTGAAGGAAAACGAATGAATGAATGAAATCCACATGTGCAATACTAATAATCTCTTTTTTTTGCAAATCTGTCTGTGATCTGTCCTTTCCTGCTTTCCATCTTTGAATGAAACAGCACAATGGGGCAAGTACTATCTTTCTATCTTTTTTTGAAGTTCCCCTACTGTCTGCCGCCGTAGTTGTAGCCATTTTTATTGACACTATTTACATTTTTTTTTATGCATGATTGTAGATTAGTTTTCAAAGCTTAACTCATCTGTTTGTTTGAGTGTCATATTTATTTATGCTTGGTCTGTGAAACATCAGTCGTTTAATTGCTGACAGTGTTTGGTGCTTGTCTAAACATGCACGCTCAGTTGGAGATGTAAAAAAGAAAAACCTTGAAAACATTGAGGGCTGATGTCAAAGTAACAGATTCCATACTAGAATTGATTTATAAGCCATGGAAATACAACATGTAAATGTGATCAAGACAGTCTGTTGAAAATCAAACCGAGCATTAGAATGAGGAAGAAAAGTGACATGGCATAGTTATTGCTGCCAGACGGGCTGCTCTGAATGTTTCAGAAACTGCTGATATACTGGGATTTTAGCACGCTAATATTCTTTTCAATTTAATTCATCTTTATTGCTAAATAACATAGATTGTGTCAAAGCAGCTTAACATGGAAGTTCTAGTAAATCGAAACTGTGTCATTTCAGTTTTCAGAGTTGAAGTTCAGTTTAGTTCAGTTCGGTGTGGTTTAATTCTTACTGCAGAAAGTGCAAACACTGAAGAGCAAATTCATCGTTGCGCAGCTCCACAAATCCCAAACAAAGCAAGACAGTGGTGAGGAACAAAACTTCACCAATTGACGAAACTGAAATAAAAAACCTTGAGACAAACCAGGCTCAGTTGGGCATGACCATTTCTCCTCAGGCCAAGCTTCTTTTGCAGAGCTTCAGTATAGGCGCTGGTGGCTAGAAAATGCAGGGCATCCATCGTGGAGAAGTTTCAGTTGTGAGTAGGTCACTGGCGGGTGTTCACACTGGCCCATGCGATCAACGTAAAGACTCATCTGGCACTTGGATCTTTCAGGAATCTGTCTCATGCTCTCCACTTGTCCATGATCGCCACATCGTTTGCTCAGGAGATGGCCTGGTCCAGGATTATAGATACCTCTAGAAGTCATAAGTGGGAAAGTAGTGGTTCAGTTTAATACAAATCTGACTGTTGAAGTAAAGTAGAGTCACCAGCAGCTCCACCCACCCCAAGCAAGCCAGAAGAAACAGTGTCATGGACATCAGTAATCTAATAATTTACCTAAATTTGTGCTTATATGAGTTTTTTGAATGTGCTTTTCATGTTCCCAATATGCATTATAATACATAAATCAATTATCATTACATCACCACGTTATCCAATGTTGCATTTTTTTTCATGTTCAACCTACTAAACAGTTAATTTTACTTTGTGTTGGGACAACAAGAAATTGTGTGGAACCAAGCATTTTTACAGCAAACTGTGAGGTGCTGGATGAGAGTCTGAAGTAAGGAATGAGAGAAGAGGGTTGTTTGATAAAGCACAATAAATGAAAAGAAACCCTTTGCATTTCCCAGACAACATTTGTTAAGTTTTATTCAATGATGGCGGTTCAAATGATCTCCCCGGAGTTCACTGTGCTTGCACTTGAGCCTTTGAAAATGCAGGTGTCTGTGATCCTGAACTGACTTGGTGGGTGCAAAGAATAAAGTGTCAAACCGCCATGTGTGTATGGACTATCCTGTCGCGATATGTGACGAAAAGTCCTAGGTAATAGGTTGATTAAGGTGTTTACATTTCTGTACTGCACTTCAATAATGCAAATAATTTGATTAATGTTTACTATGATTATTACTTTAGCTGCATTAAGGTCATCGAAAATCTCTGATTACATGCTAGGCTCTTGATCAGAGTAATGTCTTATTCGTATTCGAATTAAAGTATTGGAGTAGCAAGGAACCAAAACTCCATGGATTGAAGGAAATGGAGAACAAACCTTGGGAGAAACCAGGCTTAGCTGGGACAAGCAGTTCAAAAGTAAAAGCCAGAGCTGCAGTCTGTACATAGGAGGCTAGAGAACGATGAACATCCATCATGGAAAAGGTGCAGGTCCAAATAGGTCACATGGCAGGTGTTCGGACTAGCCGATGGGATCAATGCAAAGATTTACCTGTCACTGGGGCCTTGCAGGAATCAGGGTTGCGCTGATTTGATTGCTACGGCAAATGTACTGCACGCTATATGCTCTGGATATGGGCCAGATCCAAGATTATTTAAACCAGGGGTGTCCAAACTTGGTCCTGGAGGGTCGGTGTTCTGCATATTTTAGTTTCAACCCTAATTAAACACACCTGAAACAGCTAATCAAGCTCTTTTTAGGTATACTAGAAGCTTCCAAACAGGTGTGTTGAAGGAAGTTGGAGCAAAACTATGCAGGACACTGGCCCTCAAGGACTGAGTTTTGGACACCCCTGATTTAAACCTTGTGATAAGGATGCCATTCAAATCACAGATGCTGTTCAAATTACAGTGTTCTTTGGAATGTTCCAAGCTCCAGTTTTTACCATAGATTACCACAGTCTAATGCTTCGTTCACACCAGACGCGGCACGCACGTCAAGCGTGAGTGATTTACATGTTAAGTCAATGCAAACGCACGATAAGACATCCTGCGGCGCGATATGCGCGAATGGCGTGGCGCGAATGACGCAAATTGCGCGAATGACAGGGACGAATTGAGCGTTTTGCGCGTTTGACGTGCTTAATGAACGTTTCGCGCGAATCTCTTGATTTCGAAAATCTGAACTTCAGCGTACATTCGCGCCGCATTAACCAATCAGAAGCTTGCTCTTGTGGGGGCGTGACTGTGACGTAGAACCTGCTGTCGGTGTTCCGAGGGAAATCCTCCAGCCTTCACCGACAACAGTTCATGAAAACTCGGCTTGGCTCAGTCAGAAACACTGCTGAAAGCCTCCGTCATCCAGGTTTATGAGTTTATGAGCTCACAGAGCTGGATGCACCTCTGAAAGAATGTAGTAGACTCAGACACGACCCTAAACGTATCGACGCTGTTTTTCAGTCTTCATAAAGCACATAAACACTGTTATTTTCTTCATTAAATCTATGTTAGCCATTTAGCTACGAAGCTAGAGTCTTCGGGCAGACAGAAGCCCTGCCCATCACGCGAATCCGCGTCTGTTCTGATGTGAATTTGACTCGCGAGTGAAGCGGGGTTTGACGCGCGAATGAAGCGAGTAAACTCAATTTTTTTTTTTTTACACGCAAATACCGCGATTTATCCGCGCGTTCCGCATCTGGTGTGAACACAGCATAACAATCCTTTAGAGGATTAGGTTTTCAAAGTTACTTGTTTGAAATAATTTGGGGGAGAGAAATGGGGGGAATTTAGTGTTAGAGCAAAATGGCCAAACTGGTTTGATCTGATAAAAAGGAGAGACTCAAATAACAAGAACATCTCTGAATGCACATCCATGTCAAATCTTGAAGAAAATGACACAGCAAACCACATCTGGTGATACTCGCAATGAAAATTATTTTTGAAAAACAAAAGCAACACCTATCCTCGACAAGCTGCATGATTTGGTTCGTCCTTTAGGTCTGCAGCACGAAGGATTGTGCAATGAATTATGAGTTTTATTCTTGCACAGAGGCCATCCACAAGGATCACACTAGAATGCAGAGCTCCGAGCCAGAAGCTTTTCCCCTTCTTACTGCTCATCAGTGTAATTATTTTAGCATAACAGTGCCTTGTAAGATCGCATAGCTTCAACTTTAGTCATTCCAAGCTGGGGAGCCAACAAAGGAAATTTTAGCTGGTGAAACATTGAGCAAAGCAGGTTTTGAAGACCGAAATGGGGCCACAAGAGGTCATGCTGTGGCTTGTAAGCAGTAACACTCAGCTACTTGAAGCAGGAACCTTTGCCAATTTGGTGTTTTGTACGCCAGTTATAATTGTGCATCTAATTTATGATGTGCGAGGGTGTTTGGGTGTGTGTTAATGTGCTAAGAATGATATTTCTGTATCCTGAAGTGTGCTACCGCAGAAATGTGTGAGCATGCGGCGTCTCTCACTCTCTTCCTCTTCTTATCCCCCCCCTCTCTCTCTCAATTTCTTGTCGTAAAGGATCCTGGCGTAGGTTTACGGGCTCGTAAAGAGTCAGGTCCATATGGTTATTGAGAGAGGGGAAAGAGGCAGCGGTACAGGGGTCAGGTCTTTGCGGTGGTCTTCAGAGTGCTCCTGGATACCTTAGAAGCTCCACAGGGCTTGTATGACCAAAGCCGAAAGCCGAATGTAAACTTCAGACATGCAGAACGAGAGAAGTGTGGCTTTTGGGAGCCGTGTAGAAAAAGTAATGAGAAGAACAGGTGAACGCAGAGCTCTCTCGAGGGACGTGTCCTTATGGCTGGTCGTAACTGAAACCTGTGATGATGGACTCGGCCACTTGGACCTGGTAGATCGTAGAAATTACAAGTTCTGGATGTCTCGACATGATTAGCCTCACATGTGTTGGAGAGCAGACTCGTTTGAGAAGAGAAGAATCCAACATCCTAATTGTGTTTTGATGGCAAACTCTGAACAGATGTGGAGCCATTAACTCATTGACACTTTGACAGAAGCTTCAAACACACATTTGAACGCAAACAAGGGCATAATACCACCCCGATTTGACATGCACAGACATACAGACTATTACGGGCTCACAGTCATCATTGGACGTAGCCTGTTCTTGTTTTTCTGAGCAGAAGCTGTGCTTTTTCTGAGCAGAAGCTGTGCTTTTGCAGAGGCTAATGAGCAACTGTACACTGTAGGGATGTGGAGTATATTCGGTAATAGCATTTATGTATATTGGTAATTTATTTTTAAATACATTTTGGAATTTTAAAATGTTTTAATTTCGCATTCTTGGGTCAAACGAGCCTATTGCCAATTGTTTATGATATTCTGATCTCTAATATGGCTTGAATATTGGTGTTGAAATAGTTTTGCATTATTTTGCCATGTGAAGATCTTCAGTCAGACTGCCACCTTTAAAAGCTTTATAGGGCATCTCTTGAAAGAGCATTGTTCATCGAATTTTACTCAAGAGGTCCAATGTCACATGTGCTGTATCTGAACTCACACCATATACCCTAATTCTCTATTCCCTACATCAGTCCACTTATGTAGTATATAAAATGGAATGAAAACGTATAAGTGAAATCGAGCACTTAGTGCACTGGGACAATTAAATAATAGACTATTTAGCAATTTAAACCAACATGTGCTCTGGATGCCATGTTGTGGTCATGTGTGGCAATCAGACTCTCACAGTGCATTATGGGTATTAGAGTGTACACACATTATTACGGTGCATTATGGGATTGATTGCAACACAGGCTCATTGTGGATACTAACCCCTGTTTTGGAGACTGCAAATTATGTACCCGGAGTAACGTTTGGCTCCATTTCTTCTGTAAAATGAGTGCTATGGGGTGGTATGATGCCGCTAATCGCTTCTGTTCCTTTAGCGTTACCTGCTTACCTCTGTGTGGATGGCTTTTCTGGTGTAACCAGTTTGTCCGGTAGTTTGCCGCATACACCAATGGACTTGGGACGCAAAGTGGAGTTGACCATGACAATGGGGTCTGAGACTGTCAAAGAACTGTTACAGAAACTAGGTAAAACAAAAGCCAAAAATAGGATAAAATAAATAAACAACGGGCTCCAAAAGTGGCCAAATCATGTGGCCGTGACAGCTTTTCTTTTTTTTAGATTGCTTTTAAAAACTATCGGTTGGGTTTAGGGAAGGGGCATACCTGCCAAAATTTAGTTCATAAAATCCGGGAGACCAGGAGAGCTGGGATGGAGGGGGTTGGGTGCGTGCAAAGTGAATACTGGGGATGGGTCTGAAATACGGGAGACTTTCCGGAAAAACGGGAGCATTGGCAGGTATGGGAAGGGGGTGGGTCAGTCAGTCAGTCCACAGCAAGCTGGCCTGGCTGGCTGAAGTGTATATTGCACCCTCTGGTGGACTTATGCGAGAAAAGGACACGCAAGAAAAATTTGAGATATTTAAAAACTTACTAACGTACCTGCGGTTACATATTTCACTGTCCCCAAAAATGCAGACCTGGGTATTTATCCGCAATGAGCCTCGGTTGATTGGTTGAGTGCACTTTAGAATTTCCACTATGGTTTTTGACACCACTACAACTGGCTGCTCCTTCAAATTGTGCACTATTTAAGCGTATATGGGGTGATTTTGGATACAACTACAGAGTTTAGATTCAACCCTGATTAAACTCTGCTAATAATACCCAATCTTGATTGGCTTTTTCAAGTTTGTTTGCCTCAGATTTGGTGAACTTTAGTGAATGAATCAAGTCCAACAAGCCATATTCAAAATAAGCACAGATTATCCACATTAACCACATTGAATTCATGTGTGGCATCTTGTGGCTTTAATAAAAGTATCTAAATTGGTTTTAACGCTATTGGGTTTCTGTTTGCCCTGCAGTGATCTTCATAATAGATTTTACTAACTTTCGAAGTAATTGCCTCAAACATCAACCAAGAACACCATGTTACTCACAGCAGGCCATCGTTCCACAATGTATTAAGGTGTAGTTAGTTAGATGCATCTGAATAATTTGAGTTTTTTTTATTTAGACCTTAAAAAGTTGAATCTATTGTTTGTCTTGGTAAAAGTGCAGTTTCCAGGCATAGTAATTTCTCTAGTAAACTTAGACGGTCTGGTTCTGTTTTAGTGTGTGGAACGATCTGCTGGTTCATATTAATGACTCATGTGCGATCCACAAAAATGTGACTTCACCAAACACTGGCTGACCTTTTTTGCTGATTGTGAATACTGCATGTCAATTTGTTCGACCATCATGTCATTTGAGGTTTTCATCAAGCGTCAGAATTATTTTACCATTCCTGCCAAACTCTCTACCCACTCGCCTCGTAACTTTCTTACGAAAAGTGTTGAATGGAAGGACTGTCTGCGTCCATTTCTTCGCGTTTGTAATCTCAAACACAGCCTTTGTTGTGTGTCCAGGCTTTGGTTGAGTCTAAAACTGCCATCATCTCCATAAGCATGTTTTATGTGAAGTGCTGTTTTCAGAGTATGCTTTACAATGTTGGACATCTTCTCAGAGTATGAAAGATGTTGTAACTTTGTCTTTCTCTTTATTATCTTATTGGTTGGATTTCCACCACAGGAAACAAGGGCAAGTACCGCAACCTCCTCTTTTCTGATCTTCACATTGTATTTCATTCATCACTCCTTTAAGCGTTTTATTTTCAGTCATTAGCATGCGTCTTTCGTTTTTTATGCTTTTTTTCCCAGAGCAGTCACATCTGTGTGTGTGCAAATAACATAATCTGTTTTTTCTCACAAGCACATTTAAATCCTTAAACATTGCATTCATTTTGCATGTTGTTGCTTATTGTTTTTGGTTGTTTAGCTTCTCTTTTTTACAGTTTCTCATTTAAAATGTGTTCTGTCAAATCAACCATTATGGGTTTTGTCATTGTCCAATGCTAATAGCAATACATAGAGATTCCTGTAATGAATATTCTAATAACAATGTGATTTTCATGTTAAAAAGATGGTTTGCTGGTCTATTAAGCTGGACTCTTTTGCTAGTTATTAGCTAGTTATACCACCCATTCCAAACTCACACACCACTGGTCTATTTGTCAAGTTTATTTATAAACTAATTTCAAGAGAATTGCTTGCTTATGATTGACCACAGCTGGTCCTGCATTACCCTACAATTGATTCACCAATCAGATGATTCCTAACTCTCTATAAATAACCAGAGTTTTTTTTATCTCAGTAGCTTAGTCTTGAATAATCCCCACACCTACCTCTACTCCCTCTCCTTTCTAGACTGACGACACTTTGGCCCAGTGATAAGAACTGTTGCCTCACAGCAAGAATATCTCTGGTTAAAGTCCCTACTAAACCAATTGATATTTCTGTGCTGAGTTTGCTCGCTCTGCCCATGCTCGCATGGATTTTCCCCAGGTTTTCCGGTTTCCTCCCACAGTCCAAAATATACGCAACCTAAGTAAATTGAGCATCCCAAATTGGCGTCAAAGTCAAGCTGTTAGCAAGCCGTATATCTCTCCTTAGCCATTAAGGGAGTTCATCAAGATCTATCTGAGCTTAAACTCCCCTCTCAACCTACTAATGGGAGAGAGCTCAGGGCTCAAGGATCTTATAAGCTCAGGGCTCTCTCCTGGGACAGCATGCCAAACAAGCTTATTACCAATCATTAGCTAATTGTGAACTCTTTAAGTTGGTTTTGGGGGTTTGGAAACTTTTTTTAATACAATATCTTCCAGGCTTGTCTGTCCTTTGTTTTATAGGGTTTTGGGGCTTAGCCATGGATGCTAGCTAGGCATGATACATATTTTGTTTGTTAGTTTAAAAGTGGTTATATTTGACCTATTTATGTGAGATAGTCCAGCTGATAGGCCAGTTAAACCAGCTAAAGTCTAGAATTACATGCAATGTTGTTCTTCTAGTCTGGTCTATCAATTGGATTTAGATATTTTTGGGGGCTTTTTCAACTATGAATATCAGCTAAGTCAACAAAAGGCAAGTTTGTCATTCGTTGTTGGACTCCTGATTTTAGTGGGTTTTGGGATACTTTTTAAAAAGTTTGTACTAGCTGATGACAAGATTGCCATACATTGTTGGTCTCCTGTTTTTGTTTTAAGGTTTTTGGCTTTTGTTTTACTAGCTTGACTTTCTAAAGACAGGTTGCCATTCCTTGTTGGTCTTCAAGACCTGGTTCTTTAGATTCTAAGCTCCTTTGTTTTTTAACCATTTCTGCAGCTATAGACCATCTGATGACCTGCTTGATTTGTTGGTCTGCCAGTTTGCTTTTTTCACCAGTTTAAGATGCTTGGTGGACTTACAGCTGTTGATTCCAGACCAGCTGAAGACCACCTTGACATAATATGTATTTCACCTTCAGACTAATCCGATTATCTAGTTTGAGAGGGGTTTTAGGCTATTTTAGAAATGTATGTTAGGTAGACCAACTGATGGACAATTCACTATACATTTGTCTTTTACATGCTCACCACTGCATGCTGGTTTAGAGATTGTGTGAATGCCAGCTACTGTAGATCTGCTGAAGACCGCCTTGGCACCCATTGTTTGATTCATATACCAGCTTTATCAGTCCATATCAAACTACGTAGTTTTGGCTAATTTTATGTATTCTGTAATGAAAACAGTAGTTCAATTAAAGCAGCTGTGATTTACAAATGTGTCATAACTAGGGATGTAACGGTATCAGAATTTCACGGTAAGGTAATACCTCGGTATGAATGTCACGGTACGGTATTTATTGAATCATTTACAGGAAAAAACAAAACTTATGAAAATACTCCAAAAAAGTGCCAAAAGTGTCAATGACATACAAATTAGTCATCTATCTGTAAGCTTTGAAACAGGAACTTCAATTTTAATAACAAAAAAATATTAAACCATGTAAAAAAATTAAGTTTCAATTTAGTATTGTTGAAAACTCATCACATTCAACATTGAATCACTCACTCACTTACTTAGATAGAGATGGGCTTTAAGGAAAATTATCATATAACTATAATCTGGTAAAAGCTGGTATCTCTGGGCATTTACAATGTCCCCTGCAACAGAAAAAAACCCTCTCCTTTGGGACTGAGGATTCTGGGACAGAGAGATATGACTTGGCCCAGGTTGACAGCAGTGGGTAACGTTGTGCATTGTCTTTCCCCCACCTGAGAGGACAAGCCATGAGTGAGATAGAGGGTCTCTTTGCGGTACAAGTCAATGTCTGCATCAATCTGAACAGTGTGCTGTGTTTTTGCAGTCCCCATGACTGTTATTACTCGTATTCCCCAACTTGCAGGCACGTGCACACATAGGGCTCAACCTGTGCAGTGCACATGCCCTTTTTAGTCTTGGATAGAAAGTGCCCTTCCAAAATGATCAAAAGTGCCCCCGCGATGCGACACACGCTCCGTCCCGCCCTTCAGTGGGCGCGCGACAACACCGCTCTTGAGTATGCGCGCTCAACCCCCCTCTTTGCTTTACAGTACGCGCGCGACAACACCGCTATTCAGTACGCGTGCGGCGACAACACCGGCTTTAGGTTTCGATCATCTCCAGCTCTTTTTCATCCCCGCTACTAGAAGCACACTCCATTTCCGCATTACTGGATCTGTAGTGACAACAGACCGCAAAGGATGATGGCCACGCATGGGCTGATGGGAATTGTAGTTTCCGCTCGTTCGCTTCATTCGCCTGAGCAAATTTTCTCAGAAGACCTATAGTTTTACCGAGTCATGCGACTACGGTAATATCGAAAAAAATTTATATTGCGGTATGACGGTATTTACAATACCGTTACATCCCTAGTCATAACTAAATATTCACTTCACTATATGGTTTTGAATATTTATTATCTGTCTCTCTCTGTCTTTCGCTCTGTAGTTTTTGAAACCATACAACAGGAGAAATTTGAGGAGTTTGGATACACCTTTATTGCTCCTAGGTAACACATGTTTATACACACACACACACACACACACACACACACACACACACACACAGCAGAAACAGCAGACCTCCTACAGGGTTTAGTCTTGACAGGTTTATTTGGGCTGTATCTAGACTCTATTGGTCTTTGAAGGCCTATAAATTCACACCTTCAGACCCACACTTCACTCCCCTTAACAATGGATCTCACAGACATGGCAGAGGCAAAAATTGGTTCAAAGCTTCACATTCTTTGAATATTTTTGACCTTATTGTTCTGATTACAATTATTATTTGCTAAATATTTTTTGTTTGTTTGTTTTCAGGGAATACTGCAAAGACCTCAAAGTATCATCTAACAATACTCAATTCCTGATGGACTTCAATGAATATATTAACAAGCAAACGCCAAATGATCCTACGTGTGAGTGAAAATTAATTTGTTATATATATATTATTGGTTCTCAGGTGTATTATTTTGGCAATTTTGTTGTTACGTTTTAGAATTTAATTATGCTGACATTGATGACATCTTTATTTCCTTTGGTTACGTCTTGTCCTTTACACTTGTATGTCAACATATGCTCATTCTGAAAACATAGCCCTATAAACATTTTTGAAGATTGTGGGTCAATTGGTGCTTTTTTAAAAACTATTGGTTGGATTTAGGGAAGGAGGAGGGTGGGCCAGTCGATCGGTCAGTCATTCAGTCAGTCAGTTGACAGTGGCTTCTGGTGGATTTATGAGAGAACAGCAGGCGCGAATGGCACCTGCGAGAGAAATTTGAGATCTGAAAAAGCATACACAGCGGCCTCTCATGGATTTGCAAAAACAAAAACTGCAAATACGTAGCTGTTGGGACATATTTGATGATCTCCAAAAATGTATATAGAGGTTAGTTTTCAGAATGAGCTTGTATGATGTCCATTGTAGTTCATGTGATCTGATGATCAAAGACACGAGTCTGTCGCATTTCACTTCACATTTATGGTGATTTATGTTTACATTTTCTTAAATCAAACATATTGATTAATAATATTTATATAATATTAATTTTAAGGCCATGCTTTATATATTTAAATAATTTTATTGATAATGTACAGTGAAACCATGGTGAGGTAAGTGATGTTATAAAGTACTCTGCCTTTCCATTTGATGAAGTACCTGACTTGTGTTTTGGCTTCTTCGGTAGTTCGTTCTTCCAAATCTGAATCCCCAAAGATTCAGACTTGGTATTGAGAAACAGCTGAAGTTTTAGAAGTTGGCATTGTTTTAAGAAATGTCAAAATTAGACAAGCTTTTTCTTAAAACAAGCAAAATAATCTGCAAATGGGGTGAGAAAAATAATATTGCTTTAAAGCAAAACCAAAATATTTTTCTCACCCCACTGGCAGATTATTTTACTCGCTTTTAAACAAAAACTCACTTAATTTTGACTTATTATATCTGAAAACAAGACAACATGTTTTGCTTGTTTAGAAAATGCCTCTTGATTTAAGCATTTGGATATTTTTGGATTAGAAACAGTACAAAAACTAGAAAAGCATATTTAGTGTAGTAAGAAAAGCATATTTTGCAGTGATATCGTGCAGTATGCTGTAACTATTTTATTTCTGAACCCCAAAACCAGCAGAACTGTGACCCACTGAAACTTCACTGTTTTGAATTGTATGAGTCATTTCTGCAGCGACATTAAAGCAACTGTGGACAGACCGACTTGATATTTAATCTAGTGCAAAGTCACCAAAGTTTCAAATAGATTTGGGGCCGCTCTATAACAAAATATCTTTAGCAAACATAAAGCCCTGCTGAGGTCATTATTGAGCTCATGATGTAATGATACGAGAGGTGAGAGGACTCCGATTACTCTGCTTTAGTGGCTGAGTCAGGTTGATGTCAACGTGTGTGTGGCGCTGCTGAGTCTGTGAAGGTGACTCCGTTTAATCGGTCTGTGATTGATTAGTCTGCTCTGGAATGACTCCAGCTCTGTCATCCTAATGTTCAGAGCTGTGGTGACTCACGGTTTTCTGTAAAGAGATGCTATCGCTGTAATACAGCACTCACACACACCAAGAGCTTTTGCATTACTCAGATAAAATGTACTTTAATCCTCAGAAGTTTTTATTAAGTGAATTAAATGCCTGGAATACCAAAATAGTTGTAAAAGTTTGCTAAGTTCATATATATACACACACACAAAGGTTTGACAATGAAACTGAGACACTGGCCAATTTAGTGTTGGAAATTTCATGGCTTAATTTGACCAGCCTGGGGACCAATCTTCATTGATAGCACATTCCACCTGTAAGAGCGGAGTATGAATGTTTAATTATCATAATAATAGCAAATTTTGGCTTAAAATATTACAATGCACACAACATTATGGGTGTAACTCATACCAAAACTGTTGGTAGCTCCACAGGTCAATATACATGGCCGGATCACTCATGCCAAGCCAAATGTCAGTTTCATTGGTGCCAGCAGTAAAAAAATCTTGGGCTGTGGATAATATGAAACATGTATTGTTCTCTGATGAGCCCACCTTCACTGTCTTTCCCCCATCCGCAGAAGCCCCAAAGAGAGCCACCCAGACTGTTGTCTGTTGTCTTCTTTTTACATTTTGCTTGACATTCATTCATGTTTTTTATTTGAAATATGTCACTACTGTTATGTAAATAATCATTATCACTACATGCGTGTGCGTGCGTGTATGTGTGCGTGTGTGTAAATTTAAAGGGGATAGGATACTATTTGCGGATCGACATCTTAAATTAGCACTGCAGGTAAAATTATAATGTTATGTTAGGCTATTGGCTGCTGCCATATGCTCAAGTAAATTATTTATTTAACCTATGACTACTTCGGAAATAAATGAATAAATAAATAAATAAATAACAATAATATTACTATTTTTAACACTAATCATAATGACAAAAGTAGTCAAGATTTATGTATTGTCACAAAATCTGACAATACACTTGGTTGTGGTTTTGTTTTGGCCCTAAGCATACTTAATTTCACCTCTAATGAATTCTTGTGTTAATTGTGTAAACAACTACAAAAATCCAAATTATCCCAAATGATTTTTTTTTTCTAAAAGAGGATTTTTCAAATAAAAATAAATCCAAGGATAAGTGCTCAAAAACTAGGTTTGACTCACTCCTTCTGACGTATGCTGTCCCATTAACACACCCTTATTCAATTACAATAATGACCGAATTACACAGAACAACCAGTGATATTTAAAAGTAAAGTAATGAGATATTTAAAAGTACACTTTAAAGAAACTTTTATTTATGAGAGAGAGAGAGAGAGAGAGAGAGAGAGCAATATATGCTTTAGGCACAGCTCTGTCACACTGCTTTTATTTTTTACTTTAGGTTTATTAATGTATGAATTATTTAAGTTAAATATTTCATGCAGGGGGTTTAATATTTAATTTTTAATTAAATTAAGTTGAAAATCTAGCTATTTGTGTTTATTGATCGATTGAGCCATCAAAAACAAAAAAGAGAAAAAGAAATGAAGATTTGGGTTGTACCTTGCGTGACCATCCACTGTACCAGATTATTTCATTCACTTGGTATAGTATTCAAGTATCAAACATTTATATTAAGATACTTAGACTATTTTATATATTTTTTAAACATTGGGCTTAATTAATTAATTTATTTATTTTTTTTTTTTTTTGTGAATAAACTGCTACACATCTTTCCATTAAACCTTTCGATAATAAATTGATGTTTTGACTTCCTGTTTCCGAGATTGCATTGTAATTTTCTAAATTATCTAAACTAGACAATTAAAATATGCTGTAAAAAAGTGTAGGTTGATAACTATTTTCTTGGACTGCAGATGATTTAATGCTGGTTTTGTCTGACCAGAGGAGAAGCTCACAATGTAATGGTGCAATTGACACAGTAGCATTGTGTAAAGCGCGATATGATACAACATGTTTAATCCTTTCGCCATTTTAAGTGAATGTTAATGGAGTCGATTCTACTGACTCCAAAAGTAGGAGTTGAGAATCGGAGTCGACTCAAAAAAAAAAAAAAAAAACGGAACCGAACACCCCTGGCTGTAACATAAAAACATTAACTAATTAACAATAAAATATTCAATAAATGAAAAAGCCGACGCAGTGGCGCAGTAGGTAGTTCTGTTGCCTCATAGCAAGAAGGTCGCTAGTTCGAGACTTGGCTGGGTCAGTTGGCATTTTTGTGTGGAGTTTGCATGTTTTTCTAGAGTTTGCGTGGGTTTCCTCCGGGTGCTCCGATTTCCCCCACAGTATAAGACATGCACTACAGGTGAATTGGGTAAGCTAAATTGTCCGTAGTGTATGGGTGTGAAAGAGTGTGTGTTTCACAGAGATGGGTTGCGGCTGGAAGGGCATCCGCTGCATAAAAACATGCTGGATAATTTGGCGGTTCATTCCGCTGTGGCGACCCCAGATTAATAAAGAGACTAATCCGAATGAATGAATGATGAATAAATGAATAAATAAAGTGTCAATCACAATGCATATGTCCACCCTGTCAAAGAAGCATTTATTCAACACAGATTGTACCTGCAGTTGGTAAAGTGTTACCCTATTTAAGCTCTACGTATACAGTTTAAAAGGTATATCTTTGATTTATGTTTTTTTTTTTATTAATCAACATTTCACTCTGACATCATGACAGGGTGGACAGCAATTTCAAGGACACATGCAAAATAAATAGTAATAATATTATAAAAGCAAAATAAAAGTTATCAAAATGGTTTATTTGATCAAATAACTTGTTAAAGACAATAAGAATATTTAAAAAATCTTTTTAATTTGATCTAATTTATTAACTTTTTAGATTCATTAAAGTTGAGCAGTGTGTGGGACACGGCAAAATCACATCCATTCAATGAAAGAATATGACAAAAAATCTAAACACTTTTAATTCTACCTGCGTGTGTGTAAAGGTTTAACCAACTATATTAAAGCATTAGAATTTCATTATTTTGCATTTTGTTCATATTGGACTGATTCAATCCTGTGGGACATCGAAGGCGCTTTACTTTATAGTAATAATGATCTGAACTGCTGATAAATTCAGAACAAGTAAGGCACAGTTTTCCATGAAATAATCACAAACACTCAACGCTAAAGTGTTTTCTTTCTCTCTGTCTGCATTATTCAGGTAATTACACTCTTGTAAACCGAATGCTGCTGGACGCCGGGCTCACAGCAAAGCTCATCAAAGTCTGGAAGGAGCAGAGTGTGTAAGTCTAAGACTAAACACACACATGGAACAACATAAAACACTCACTGTCCCGCTTTTTCAAGAAATCTCCAGAGGGACGCATTCATGTACACAGAGCTCTATTTAAAGTCCTGACATGAATAAGAATGCGCTGTCTTATTGTTAAAAGCAAACTCAATTAAAGTAGCCGAACATCTGGGTGTCCTAAAACACAATACTTTAACATGACATATGACAAAGACGGTGTTTTCAATTAAACAAATGCTGTTTTTATATTAAGGAATGACCCAAATATTCAATTTTTTGCTTTTTTATTATGTATTTGATGTGTTGTTTCATAAAGATTCTTGAAATAATAGAATTTAGTGCTGTAAAAAACTGTAATGCTGAAATAAAACACTCACATGTGCGATTTCTGCTTAACCAGTGTTTCTCAAAATGGTGGTTTAGATGTGAGAGTTTTTGGGATTCAAACTTGTTTTGAAAAACAGTTGTTGACACTTCTCTCAGTTCTGGTTTAAGTTACAGTGCCTGAGAAAAACATGCTGTCCTTATTCAGTTTCTGCAGTCAGATACGATGTTGTCAGGCTGTATGTCAGTGTTATTCTTCTAATGTTATTTTTGTCAATTGTTATGGAATAAAACGTCACCTGACCTGTCAGCTCATAAAATTAATGGGTGCATTTTGCATCTCCTATTGATAAACCTTCTATTAGTTTTATAACCTACTATAATAGTTCTATTATTTTTTTCAACAAAATGAAATTTAATGAAACAGTTTTGAATAATAACAAACTACATCAAGTTATTTGTAAAATAGTATGTGTAATTAGGGGCATTATGTTATGAAAATGTTAACTTAAAGTACAAATGAAATCAAAACTAGCCATGTTAGTTTGTTGGCTTACATTGCTAGTTTTGTGGTGAACAATTCATCCGTGCATGTCATTAAGAAAAATAAATGTTTGCTCTTGAAATTTGAAAATTAAAATCTGAAAATGCACCTCCTGTTTGTTTAATTCTCAGATTACGTCTGTGTAATGAAGCAGACGCTGAGAACAGACTTACAGTTAATTTAAGATTAGTCAGGCAGGCAAATGGTAGAGATGGTTGACGTGAAACTGACGTTTCGACACAGTGTCGAGATCCCGAAGCGCAAGTGCTTCGAAACACTGTACCGAAGCATGATCCAAATCACTCAGGTCAAGGTGGGACTAAGGTGATTCAAAACATCCAGGTCATGTGACTAAAGTGTTTCAAAACACAAGGTCATGTGACGAGCGATTCAAAGCATCGAACATTTCAAAAGCGTTTTAAGACCTGGCAAATCTGGATTTGACTGAAAGGGTTAGAAAAAACTCTCATATAGCCTAGTTGACTGCGTGTTTGCACAGAGTAACTGTGCTGCAGAGGTTTTGAGTTTGAATCAGGGGCATCGCTAGACCCCATTCAAAATCGCCAGTGCCCCAGTAAATGCTTTGATATATGATTTACTTTATATGCAAGTGTATTTATTAAGAGTGGTAATCCCAGAATAAAGATGTTAATCTTTATGTGCAACTGAACCAAAGCTAATGAAAGCAACGCTGTTTAATCAAAAAAGCAAA